TTGCCATAGGTGACGTAAATTGGCAAAAGCCAAATGGGCTTTCTAAATCCGTGCAGAGATTTCGTCAGACACCAACCCGTTTGGGCTGATCAGACTTTCAAGATAAATGAAGTTATCGATGCGTTCTACTACTCCACTCTTTATCCTTAGTTCAGGTGTTGATGCAGTCCAGTTTTGAAGCGATAATTTGCATTTAGAGAGGGAGAAACGCATTCCAAACATCCTGGCATTGTTGTTTAGTGCTACCAAAAGACTGTGTTTTATCAGCGTCTTCATGAGACAAAGCTATATCATCTGCGAAATCTATGTCAATAAGTGGACCTCCCGGAAGGAGATCAATGCCCGAGAATTCAGTTGACGAGAGCGTTATTTCCAGCAATACCTGTGTTCTAAAATCGAATGACTGGTGACTATGTGGTCGATGCAGTCACGACCAGGTCTAAAGCTAGCCTGGTTTTCTCGTGTTTGCAATTCACCAGTCTTTGTTATGCGCCCGATAATTATTGAGGCTGGCAGTTTAGACGCTATTTTAGTCAAACTAACCCCTCTATAATTATCATAGTATGATTTTGGTCCTTTGTTATATATTGGGACGATCAGCGATTACGACCAGTCAGATGGGATTACGTCCAGTTCCCAGATTTTAGCTAAAATATTAATCAACCTAATCGCTAAAACTGAATCAGCTGCCCTTTCTTGTTTCAGATGGAGGGACTCGATAGAAGACTGTCGCTCATTCTGGAGCACATGCCTAGATTCAGATCATGTGCTAGTACGAGCGCACATTTGCTTGCGTCTTACTGGACGTAAGAAAGACGCTGCAAGGAAACCTCTTAAGGTCCTATTTAATGATAGTCAAGCTGAGAGTATATTTCAGGAACAACTAGAAAAACAGTCAGGCAGCCATGTAGGTGAAGCCCACCCCGAGGCAGCATGGAATCATATCCGAAAACCTGTGGAAACAGCAGTGATATCTGCTAGTACGGTAAACCGTAAGGTTAGGGAGCAACACTGGATCTCAGCAGCATCAACCGCACTGATAGATGCTCGAAAACTAATTCCATCTGGATCTGAACATAATGAAGAGCGGAGTCAGCTTAAGCGCAAGCTGACAAGAAGCCTACGCAATGATCGCGAACAGTGGTGGGTAGCGAAAGCCAGAGAGATGGAAAAGGCGGTGGCAATAGGAAATAGCAGGCAACTGTTCAGACTTGTTAAGGAAACCGGTATTAGGAATAATCTCAGAGAAAGATGGACATATTATACAATGTATTGCGCTAATATATCACATAGTTCTGATAATCTTCGTCTTCTAATATCATTGTCGAAATTTATCAAAGGGACTAATTGTTTTATACATTCTCAATCCAGGAGATTGGATCGATGGGCAGAACACTTTAGGGGTCAGTTTAACTGGCCTTCAGCCACACTTCGGTTTCCCACGATCTCCAGTCGACCTGAATGGGAAGTTAATGAAGGTCCTCCGACTTTTTATGAAGTTGAAAAAGCTATCGGAAATCTGAAGCGAGGGAGAGCAGCAGTCCCTGACAGGTTCACTCCTGAGATTTTTAAGGATGGTGGTCCAGTATTAGCAGTGAGATTAACTGAGGTCTTAGGTAGAATTTGGGAACTGGACGCAATCCCATCTGACTGGTCTCAATCACTGATTGTGCCAGTCTTTAAGAAAGGACAAAAGTCCTCTTGTGACAATCACAGAGGAATCAGTTTGACTAATATAGTGTCTAAAATGTTAGCTTCAATAACACTCCGACGCCTAACTAAAGATCGTGAAGAGCAGACTAGAGAAAATCAGGCTGGTTTTCGACCTGGACGTGTTTGTCACTGAAAGGAGTACCAAAGAAGTACATTAACTTTGTAAAGGCTCTCTACTCCAACACAACTGGTAGAGTGAGGGCTTATGGCGAACTGTCATCAGAATTGATTACCTCAAGTAGTGTTTGTTAGGGCTGCCCACTATCTCCATTCTTGTTTAACTTTGTCGTTGACGTACTTTTAGAGATAACACTTTCCTCATCTAAATTTCCAGGGGTTGAACTTCTACCAGGAGATTCACTTGTTGACTTAGAATACGCCGATGACATAGTTCTATTTGGTGAAGACGCTGACAAAATGCAGAGTCTTCTGACCACTCTAAGCAACAATGCAAGCATGTTCGGCATGCGATTCTCCCCCTCGAAATGCAAAATGTTGCTTCAGGATTGGGTTGCATCGAAACCCGAACTAATGATAGGGAGTGAAGTAGTTGAGGGTGTCGACCGCTTCACTTATCTTGGAAGTCTCATCAGCCCTTGTGGTCTGGTGTGTGACGAAATCTCAGCACGGATACAGAAATCTCGACTAGCTCTTACCAACTTGCGTCATTTATGGCGTAGGCGAGATATCCGTCTGCTAACCAAAGGACGGGTTTACTGTGCAGCAGTCTGTTCCGTCCTACTTTATGGCAGTGAAACATGGCCAGTAAGAGTAGAGGATATTCGTAGGTTACTAGTATTTGATCATAGGTGTCCTCGAAACATTGCTTGTATATCCTGGGACCATCGAGTAAGTAATGCAGTTGTTAGAAAACGGGTACTAGGTATGGATGGCAAATCAATTGATGAAGTAGTGAGACTTCATCAGTTGAGATGGCTGGGATATGTGTTACGTATGCCCATCCTTCCGACTGCCTCGACGTGCGATGTTCAATGGGATAGAAGTAGGTTGGGAGAAAGCTAGGGGCAGCCAGACCAAAACATGGCACAAGTCCATGAAGTCACTGACAAGTGGACTGAGCCATGTTGGTAGGTGTAGACTACGTGGTTGGGAACCGCGAGATGAAAGCAACCGATGGTTAGAGACCCTGAATGACGTGGCTCAAAATCGTTTGCAATGGCGCAGATGCATCCATTCTTTGTGTTCTCACAAATTCTAATCTCCTGATTCCTCCTTGTTTCTATTTTTTCTCTTCACAAATTCATTTCACTGGATTATACTCCTTGAATAACATCTTCAAACCCTAATTTTTCTGATAACAGCTTTTAATTTTACTACATCTAGCACTACGGGATTTGAATCGACTACTGCATCTCTGTGCTAATATGGTGTGGCAACTCGAACTGATGTACGAATGTTCGAAGTTCTACATTGTTACTGACTAACCTTGAACTTCAGCTAGAGTCGGGGGACCTACTTCAATGTTCCATTCAGGCTGTTTGGGAATGGTGGGTAGTTGTAGAGTAGGTGAATGTCAACTTGACTGTTCTCTAAAGTGTTCCGCCCATCGTTTTAAACGTCTAGGCTAAGAGCAGATAAATGTCGTCTGTTTTTTTATTTCGTCTCACACTTGACGTAATTCTTAGTTTAAAATTTTTCTTGTGTTACCTACAGTCACTGCCTTTTTCATCTCTTTTTGTTTCGTTTCCCTTATACATAGTGCTATACCTAAATCTGCTAGTCCACAAGAATTCGTTTTAGGTCCCCAGATAAACGGAGGGTGTATCTCGTCGGCTCCTTTTTTTGGCTAGGTGTGGTCAAATGGATGACCACACCAGGATCCTATGTGCGTGTTTCGGAGACACAGGATACATCAATGGTACAAGATTCTAGGGTCTTAGCCGAGGAGGCTTGTCGGCCGATTGAACACAGGGTATGTACGTTGAAGGCTACAATGTGTAGTTTGTAGCGATGTTTCAGTAGACCCGGGACGGTATTTATCGCACTAGAATCGTTGGTCATGGCGACACTTGAGGAGAAAATCGAGGGAAAAAGTTTAGAGTTGATAGTCGAGGTAGAAGGAACAATAGGGATTGAAGAGGGAGATTGTTTATGAATACTGTGGTCATTAGTGTTGTTAGAAATATGAGAGCGGTTACCACTTTCCGGTTGGTCACTCTGTGAAAAGGTTCTTCTTGAGGTACCTGAAAAGGAAATTGGTTTACAGTTGGTCTTAGTGACCCGAGAGAGTGATCTTGGTACCAAAAGTACAACTGCTTGAGGCCGGTTGCACATGACCTTTTTGTGGGCAATTTTCGTCTTAGCTCCGTACTTGTTGAGACCTTACCGCCGGGAACGGAGATCCGTTGAATACGACGAGATGTGCATTTTTAGTGTTGACCTTTTCTAGCCATACCCTTCTTTTGTGGGAAGGCAGCATCGCTGTTATGCTGGTTGTCTAAGAGGAACACTTAACTGCCGTTACATCTCTGTACAATCAGCGGTACGAATTCGCCGTCGGATCTTGGATTTTCTGCTTGTAGTCTTATTGCCATTCAACAGACCTGCCTGTTATGGTAGGACCTTGAGAAGCGATTGTTTCAGCCAGTATAACCTGACTGGTCCATCACGATAGGCAAGCCCGACCACCACGTCAAGGTAGTAGCAACGGTGGGGCGTTTTTTTAGCAAATCTTTCCCTACGAGATGGTGTTGTTAACCCCATCCTCTTCCACTCCTTTATTTGGTCTCGAAACCGCTAGTAACTTTAGAAGGGTTTCAGTTAGAGTTTGGCTCTTTATGTTCTATATTTTGTATGTTTTTGCCTTTTATTATAGAGTTGACACAAATGTGCAGCGGTTCTTTTTGTAAACATTTTAATAAAAAAAACTACATAATTAAATTTGTTTGAAAAATTGGAACATGTAGAATGCAGGAAAAATAAGCAAAATAAAATGTTTTACGAAAAGAGCGAATTTTTATTTTATCTCGCTTATTTTTTTCTGAATCCTTTCCAAGCTAATTACATGCAAATTTTAGTGTATAGCTCTTTATTAAAACATTTGCAACATGAACTTCTTCACATTTGTGTTAACTCCATAACTAAGGGGAAAATATATTTAATGGTATTTCTAAAAAAAGATGGAAATCATGGAACTGTGCATAGAATCAGTCATTTCCATCCTGTAATTAAAAAAATGTACTATTACATACCAGCTTTCACTCAATTTTACTATTATAAGTGATTCTCTGTTTTGATAAGTATATTATTGTTTCTTCTGTTTCTAGCACTCAACATGGTAAAAATGATAGTAATCGAACAGAGACTGATATACATCAACAAACAAGTTGTATTGGCAATAATGCTAACATTCAGTACATCCACTTGAAATCTAAAGTTGATCTGCCTTTTTCAAATGTGGATTCTATTGGTGACGGTATAACTTCCGTCAAGTCATCACAAAACTCCATTTCTGCACCTGTTGTTCACTTAGCAGCGTTTCCAGCTGTAGAGCGTGGAGATCAGTTCACGAAACCCCCATACTCTTATGCTCAACTTATTGCTCAGGCAATCTCAAGTCAGCCAGATCGTAAACTTACTTTGAGTGGGATTTATGATTTCATTAGTAGAAATTATTCATATTATCAATTAGCTGATAAAGGCTGGCAAAATTCAATTAGGCATAATTTGTCACTTAATTGTCAGTTCGTAAAAGTAAGTATGTGTCTAAACGTTTCCTTATTATTTAAGTCATAATTATTAGTGTATAAACTGCACAAGTTGTTCATTTCAGAATAATCTGATTATTTAGACACTCTTTTAGCACAATACGCTTTTCAATGTCCTTTTGTAATGAAATTGTGGTTTATATGATCCTTTCGTGATTTAGTTCCAGCCACTGTCTTTACGGTTTTGTTTCGACTCCTTCATTTAACAAAGTGTAAACAGAGTAATGACAAGTTTTTGTTTTGATTTCCCGTTTCATTATTGATTTATTTGAACACATGAATATTGGTACAAGAGAGCGCCAATATATATGCGCCACACAAAACAATGAGAATTCGAAGAGAAATAGAAAAACAAGCTAAGGAGCGCAAAAGAAGAGAATAATAACGAAGAGATTGGTGTAAGGTAGTATGGTAGAAATGAGGGAACGGAAAGGTACAATCAGAAGAAATCTTTCAGTTAAGGGAGACACAACCACTTTTTATGAAGTAAGTAAAAGAAGGTTACAGCAGGATCACCACTGGCTTCTATTCTGAGCCATATCTGATAACGTCTCTAGCCACTGTGTAGCACCATCTCTCGGACCCCAACCAGGGAGTCGTGAAGGACCGACAGAAGCCAGTCCTTTGCAGCTTTCTTTCATACCACGACACCATGTCATGCACTGACCACCTCTCCGCTTCTTCCAACCAGTCCCAGAGTCGGCAAATAATGCACGACGTGAAATTCTTTGTGACGACATTCGTAGAACATGTCCAAGCCACCAAAGTCGATGTCTCAAGATAGTGACACCAATTGAGTTATCATCTCTGTGCCCGAACACACGATGCCGAACCTCTGCATTACTAAAATGATGTTGCCACTGAATGTCAGCAATCCTTCGGAGACAGCGATGATCGAACACAGAGTCGTCTAACGTCCTCAACTCGGAGAGGCCAGGTTTCACAAGCATAGAGCAGAACTGCTCTCACCGACGCGTTGTAGATCCGACCTTTTACAGCCAGACTAACATCACGAAGGCGCCAAAGGTGGCCCAAATTGGCATAAGCCGCTCTAGCTTTCACTATACGTGCATTGATCTCATCACTGACCCCACTACCAGCACTTATGCAGCTACCCAGATACACGAACTTTCCGACTACGTCTATCTGCTCACCATCCAAGGTGAGTACAGGATTAGAATCCTGCCAGTCTTGTAGAAGTACTTTGCACTTCGAAGGTGCAAAGCACATACCATACCTACGGACACTGATTGTCAACTGATTAAATGCGGATTGCATGCCTTGGGCATTATCGCACAGTAAGACAATATCGTCCGCATACTCAAGGTCGAGAAGTCTTTCTCCGGGCAACAGATCCACACCACCATTACTTACATTCATCAGAGCTGTTTCCAGAATGTCGTCGATGGCAAAGTTGAAGAGGAATGGTGAGATTGGGCAACCCTGTCTAACCCCACTGCTTGAATGGAACAATGGAGAGAGGTGGTTGTATGCCCTCACTCTGCCTGAGGTGTTTTTATATAGGCCTTTTAGGATGTTAATAAACTTCTCAGGCACACCCTTATTCAATAGGCAATCCCAGAGAACAGTTCTGTCCAACGAATCGAAGGCAGCCCTGATATCAAGAAACATTACGATTGTTGACCTGTGATAAGTATGACGGTGTTTTAACATTTGGCGTAGGGTGAAGATATGATCAATACATCCTTGACCAGAACGAAACCCAGCCTACTCCTTGCGAGCCAATCTTTCTCGAGTTTTGAACAACCTACGAAATATGACAGAAGTCAATAGCTTTGACGCAATGGGAAGTAGACCTGTCCCCCGATAGTTACATGAATGACGTGAAGCCTTTTTAAAGATAGGGACAACTATCGACTCATTCCATGACGTTGGTACACTCTCTAGTTCCTAAACCTTTGTAAACAACGTCGTCAATTCCTTAGCCAGAAAGTCACTACCACCTTTAAAAGGAGTCGGAGGTAAGTCATCTGGGCCTAGTGATTTGTAGCGCCTCAAGAGTTGGAGTTCCTTGCGGACTTCCTCCTTGTTTGGTGGTTCAGTCGTCGTTGGCCATGGAGGGCAGGACAGTCTGACCGATGTTGCCGGAACAGCAGGCCAGTTGAACTGCCCTTCGAAGAATTCTACCCATCGTCCAAGACGTCGATGGATGTTAGTGATTGGCATTCCATCATCCTCGTAGATTGTTTCACTCACACCAGACTTCTTGCTGCCAGTGGCTCGGATGAGTTGGAAGAGCTTCCGGTAGTTACCAGATGCAGCTGCTGCTTCCAACTCATTAGCACGCTTCGACCACCAGGCTTCTCGTTCCTTACGCAAGCTTTGCCCAATTTCCTTACGTAACATCCTTCGTTTGTGGTCAAACTCACGGTCACCCGGAGTAGACCGACGGGCTCGTGAAGGTTCCATATGATCTGTCGAAACATGGAAAGTGTGGAATTAAACTAAGCTCAAAATTTGAAGAAGATATAAAATGGATACAACTACACCACTTTGCCCGACTTTTGACCAGTATTTCTAGCCCATTACACGTCCATATATATCTGGTCGAATCATCTATCATTTTTAGGTTAATCATACTAGGCTGATCAAATATCACCGTCCAAACTAGTGATTACTTAAAAGTTAAATACCTAAAACATTGGGCAAGTAAGCTATTAGTTGATGTGATTTTAAGATGCTAGCTAGTAAACATCTAACTAAATCGCTCGAATAAATAAATGTTCAGTGAGCAAAATTTAAGTTTTAACTCAGCGAATATGTGAATCGCTACTTATTTGATTGCATTATTCTTGGAAAAGTAAATCCTCTTACTCACTATAATTCTAGTCGTAGTACTGAGTGTCAGGTAAATTTTTTTCGGTTAAAAGCCATTTAAATCTAGGAGACAGGGATGAGATGGTTATCCTTCTCACATCATAGGAAGCAGCCTGCGCATTATTACTGAGTCGAATTATTTTTACATAGTTAATAATCAGAGTCATTGGGACCACTATTTACTCAATTAAAAAAACCACCATCTGAACATTTATCTCATTTAATTAATGTAGATGGACCTTTATATTTCCCTTTGTAGATCTGTTGACATCATTTTCCGTTGTACATATATTTGTTTATCAGGACTTTATGTGTGACTATTTTTATTGTGTACAGTTTAAAACCAAAAACAAGCACACATGTGTATTAATACTTTATTGTTACAGGATTTTTCATAATTTCGTGTTGTAATTTATATTCTTCCAGGTTCCTCGTTCACAAGAAGATCATGGTAAGGGTTGTTTCTGGAGAATCGATCCAGAGCATGAAGCTAAATTGTTAAATATTGCTTTCCGTAAACGTCGTATAAGAGCCTGTGATACAAGTTCATTTTTAACAAATAATCGATATCCATTGACATCATTATCTTCAAATGGGAAATTTTATAATTATATTATTCCAAAATCACTAATAAATCAATCACACAATAGTTCAATCATAATGTCAACAGGCGGTATTCATTTACGAAAATCATATAAACGATCAAACAAATCTCCTGACCAACTAAAAACTCCTTACAAGCTTGCATTATCGTCCCCATCACTTGATGTAAACATACAACATACACCGCTAACTCAAAACAAGGAGGATAGTTTAAATGTGATTACTTTCCAACCTGTCGTTCATAATTTGGTTCCAGTTAATCAAGGTTAGTCGTGATATTGATTTTAACTACTCTCCTACCCTCGTTCTGTCACTAGTCAAATTGGTACCTGCTAATGCTCTTCTATCTTGTAATTAGAGACAATAAAGTAATGACTTCATGGATCAGGGGTTAAACCCTAGCTTTATATAGTGAGTTGGGTGTTTGCATAGTCTGGTACCCAATCTTACACATGACTGCCACATTGCAGTTTTCACTTTGTATCTATATGAAATTAAATGCTTGCTATCAAATGATAATCGTCGATGTTAACCTTGAGATTTAAAGAATTTTGACTAACTACCTGTATTTCTATCAGTAAAGGAATTCAAAGAATAAAGGATTAGTAAACAGTGACTAACATACAAATTATTTCTGAATTTTGAGTAAATCTTTTACGTCAAAAACGTATTCCTCAGGTATTGGTGGCTAAAAGATTTCTTATGCATACTAGTTTTAATAACAATTTTATTGTTTACACTCCCTAAAATTATGTAATCGTCTCTATTTCTTACTACTCAAGTCAGTAGTGACCGCTCACACTAACTGTGTTATCGAAATTTACATTTTTTTTATCTCCGTTTACTATGCCGTTTGTGCCCTAAAAATACATGTTTGATATTATTAATGATTGTATGCTTGGTTTAGACTCGAACTGAAAAAAATCCACAAGAAGACTTCATTTTCTTTTTAGAAAATAACATTCTTCACTCAACACTCATGTCCTAATTAAAACTAGTCATTTTTCAAGATTGTGTATATTTTCTTATTCGAATCATTTCTTACCATATATTAGATATGTACTACATCGTTATGCAAGTATACGTTTTTTCCTTTCATTTCAGCGTCCTCTTCCGTTGTACGGATTATGAACACTAAACCTATACTAACAACTACTTTCAAGTCAAGTCATCATAAAGAAGACCAGTATAATATTTCACCTTATCATGCTGGTTCTGTTGTTGTACAACAGCCTACTTATTCTTTACTATCTTATTCTAATTCTTCCCAGGATACAACTGTATTCCATCAGAACAGTAGTGGTACAAATTGACAACATAGCTGTTTTTCTGTTTACACACAGTGATGTGATCACCTTTAAAAAGCTTAATTGCTATCGTTTTTAACAGCTAAAGCTTTTTTACCTGAACAAAATATGAGTTTTTATCCTTTTTACAATTTAACTAATATAGTTTCTTTTATTAGTGATCATTTATTAGCTATGAAGAACTGGAAAAACAATTGGCTGTGCAAAGTGCTTTTATATGTATTTCTGCATTTTCTTACTGATTTTATTTTTGATTACTGCATCCGTATCATTTATACCAATCTCCGTCGTTTCTATTTGTGTGAATATCATTTCAGCTCCCTCTTTCCTTTGTTTTTCTCCTGTCCTGTTTCATTGTTTATGATTACCCTTCCGTTGTTTCCTTTTGTAGTCACAATCACTACGTTGCACACACATACATGCATATCTGTCTTTAGACAATCACTCATTTATTTTTCTATAGGTGATAATTTTCATGGTAAAAAATGGTATTAATCGCTAAACATTTAAAGCAATCATGCTAATGATTTGACAATTTCTTTGTTTGTTATTTCCAAAATTAGTTGTTTGGGCTATACAAAATATAAGCAATGATATACAATACCGACCCAGGACATCTATAATGCGTTTCATCATAGGCTATTACGTTAAATCAAATAGGCTTAATTAGTAATGCATATCGTTAAGTGAAGTTGTGAACTGTTGTCGGTTGGAATGATGGAGGCAAGGGCCACACTTAATTTTATTTAGTTAAACACATAGACAATGGCACCAAAATATAAATGTGCCACACAAGAGAAATGAGATCGAGAAAGAGAAAGGAAGGTCAGTATAATAAAAAACTAATTGAATAAGAGTAAAAGATAACGCGAAAAGCAGTTCAGTTAAGGAAAATACAACCAGAAATGATTCTTTCAGTCAAAGTTCCTCCCACTTATATGAAGAAAGTAGAAAGCCACAGCAGGACTACCACTAGCTTCTATTCTGAACCATGTTTGGTAAAGTGTAGGGCCACTAAGCTGCACTATCAAGAATCTCAACCAGGTCGTTGTGAAGGATCAACAGTTCTGTACAGACTTTTTCCATAAGACGACACTATGTCATACACTAAATACATTTCCTCAATGTGGAATTTGCTTAAATGACATTCGTAGCACTTGTCCAAGCTACCAAAACCGGTGTTTCAAGATGGTGATGCCAATCGAATTATTATCACTGCCCGGGCACACCTTGCCGAACCTCCTTGTATTCAACACATTGCCGCCACTGAATGTCAGTAACATTTGGAAACAACAATGATTGGACACAGTTGTCTTGCATCCTCAACTCGGAGAGGTCAGGTCTTACAAGCATAGAGTAAGATTGCTCTCGCGGATGCATGGTAGGTCTGATCTTTAACAGCCAAATTAACATCATGGTGCCAAAGATGGCCCAGCTTGGCATAAGCTGCTCTCGTTTTCACTATACATGGATTGATCTCATCAAACACGCCACCACCAGCACTTAGCTATCCATATACATGATCTCGACCACTTCTACTGCTCACTACCAAGAGTGGACGCAAGTTCAGAATCCGCCCAGTTTTGTAAAAGTACTATTCACTTAGAAAGTGGAAAACACACACCATACCCACGGACATTGCCAACTGATTAAGTGCGGATCGCATGGCTTGGTTATCATTGCACAGTGAAACAATATCATCTACATACTCAAGATCGAAAAGTCCTCCAGGCAACAGATCCACACCACTATTACCTACATCAATCAGAGCTGTTTACAGTCCATCATCGATAACAAAGTTGGGGAGAAATGGTGAGATTGGACAACCCTGCCTAACCCCACTGCTCGAATTAAAGAGGTGGTTGTATCCATTTATTCTGCCTGAGGTATTTGTATTCAGAACCTTCAGGATGTTAATAAACTTTCTAGACACCCTCCCCCCGACTTCAGTAGACAATCCCAGAGAACAGTTCTGTCCAACGAATCGAAGGCGGCTCTAATTTCAAGAAACACAACAATTGTTGGCCTGTAATAAGTATGGGGGTGTTCTAACATCTAGCGGAGGGTGAAGATATGATCTTTCATTTATATGCGCCACACATTAACGATGAGGCCAGTAGTAGTTATCATTGATCTGTGTGAAGGCTGTGATACTGCCCGTGTGCTTAAACCTAAGAAGGGAAAATATGATCAATACTTCGTCGACCAGAATGGAAACTAGCCTGCTCCTCTCGAAGTAATCTCCCACGAGTTTTGAACAATCTGCGAAATATGACGGGAGCTAATAATGTGAACGCAATCGGAAGTAGACTTATCCCTCGATAGTTGTTCCATAGGTGACGTGAACTCTTTTAAAGGATAGTGATAGCTATCATTTTATTCCACGATGTCGGAACACTGATTGCAAATAACTTGGTCAGTTCCATAGTCAGTAGGTCGCTACCATCCTCAGGAAGCGCCAAATATAATTCAACTGGGCCTGATGATTTGTGGCGCTTCAGGAGTTGGAGTTTCTTGCGCACTCCCTCCTGTTTTGATGGATTAGTTGACACTGCGCAGAGAGGACAAAACAATCTGGTCGATGTCGCCAGGGCAGCAAACTAGCTAAACTGTTATTCGAAAAACTCAGTCAAGCGTCTAGGATGTCGATTGGTGTCCCATCCACTTCACAGATCACTTGCTGTCAGTAGCACGGATGGGTTAAAACAGATTGAAGTTAATCTGATAATTAAATTTGCTCAATGAAATATGCGAGATATAAAAGATTATGCTCAACATGTATTCAATTACTAGACCAAAGTGGCTACGTATAATATGTCGTTCAGTCAGCCGCTCAGCTGAATCTCATGTAATTTTATACTCTTTGAATCTTCTCAAACCTTTATTTTCGTCATCGTATAAAAGCAAAGTGCTCTAGATATCAGGATTTCTGTTTACATTATTGGCCGAGTATCACGTTTTATTTTTTATAGAGCGGAGGATATATGCTTAACATAAAATTTTTTTGGTTGTAAATGTTAGTGAGATGTTCACACATTAAGCTTCATGTTACCCTTGAATTAGTTTGGACCTTAGATCCAGTGACTAAATTGCACAAACACAGATTAGTAATATCATTTGTACACTCAGATAACTTCAGGTAGCTCCAAGCATTTAGATAGGTAGCGCCGCTCTCAGACACTTATCTGATGAAATCTTCCGAAGACCTTTTTTACCTAATATTTAAATACAAAGAAGCTAACTGCAAGTTAGTTACTGTTCAAATTTTTGTGCTCTTTATATACGTCTAGACGAATAACTGTCCCCTCAAGATTATTTATAGGTGTGCCTCTTGGATTCCAACAATAAATTTTGTAACTTGAACTAATTACCACTTTTAGATTGCAGTAACTTCGAACGGATTGGCCTGCTCCACAATATAGACATATGCGAGGTATGACTAGCAGTTTGCATACAAGGCTGCAATAAATATGGATGACTTACAGAGATGTTGGATGCAAATAGTAACTGTAATGGTCGAGACAGTCAGTCTTGAGGTCTAAGCAGAAGAGTTAAATGTTGTGACGCGTGTGAGACTGTAGGTTTTGATAAGCAGCGTTTATATCGATCGATTACAGTGACACGTAAACACGTACGGACGGCCTAGAGTCCCGCTTCCCTGTCTAGCCCAGCCAGTTGAGTCCAGAACACAAGTCACAGCCTCTGAGTTATGAATCATTGTATTTCAGACATACTCTATTTATATACTAACCAAACAAACCACATCGTACCATAAAATAGAAAACAACATTTACACGATATTTAACAAGTGAAACAAACATCAACCAATAGGAAATGTACATTTAAGGTCCAAGGCCACCATAGACTTAACACAATAATTATTGGTATATTTTTCCTCAGCATCCATTACATTAAACTATGTTGAACAGTGCATTGATAACCTTATTAGAATAATTTTCAAACGTAGACAATAATTGTAGCTGAAACTGCGTGTTGACATCCAAACTAATGCTCTACGTACTGAAATTTGTAAATTAACGTTGGTTTAAGACAGCATTTTCAGTTAGAAGTATTACATCAACCCATTGCTTAAATGGCTTAAATATAAACTTGATTGCTTCGAACTTGTTATTCATTGACAGGTCCTGTAAATAGATTCAATCTGTTGTGATAACAAACTAATCGTAAGGCTGCAAGGGAAACCGACTTAAGAAAGTATGCTTAAAGAAAACTAGGTAAGAAATATCTTTCTGAATATTCACCGTAGACACACAACCTTTTTCGAACAACCATCAGTTTTTTTATTTATTATTCCCTAAACGATACTTCATTCTAACCTTAGAACCAATTTATTGAACGTATGAACAGTTTCCAAATGAAAAAAATGAAGCTAGTGACTGTAACGTGCGTTTGTTTTATAAATGCAGGTATTAATAGACCACACTTGCTAATAACGCGTCAATCAGTTGAAATGTGTTTAAGATTTAAAGTCACTTTTAGAGTATTTATAAAGCGATATAGTGTAATAAGACGTGGATTATCAGAACTATGTGAAATATTGGCGAAATACATTTCGAACAATCTGATCATACAGTCCTGATAATCTTCGTCCTCTTATTACACTATCCAAATTTATCAAAGGGACTAATTGCTCCGAAGTTGTCTAAGTTAAATTTATTAGCACGACCTCTGGGTCAGTTTATTAGTGGAATGAAACCGTTAGCTTATATACACATTGTAAAACAGTTAACTAAAAACGAACTGCAAACAACTTTATTTATATTTGTATGCAGACTTTGTAATTTAACTTGATCTGGTTGTTGTTGGAATTGTTTTTTTATACAGGAAATGTTAGCTTTGAAAAACTATTTGACTGTCGAATGGTAAAGTCATACTAACTTAATTGTCGTTCGTTTTTTCCTATATTTTAAAAAACAGTTCATACACCTTAATCCATTTATTTTGCCAGATAGTGATAAGGATTAATAGAGCATTACTGGTATAAAAAAAGAATACTAGTATTTATCGCTACTAGATCATAACATTTGATTGCATAATACTGTATAGACAACGGACATTTGAATTGACTGTTACACACGTTTATTTACAGCATAAATCGGAAATAATTTGAAGGGAAAAGTCTTAATACCGATAACAGTGATTATATGACATTGAAATGATGCAATAAATTTACACTTGGTTCAAAAGAATAAAAACATATTTTACTGTTTTTATGGTGATACAAGTTGTCACTACATAAAGCTTTTCGGATACGTTGTTCCTAAATTATTGTTCAGTCCAGTTTGAAAAGGCGTAAACATTCAAATATAAGTTACATTATGATTTTTTTGAAAATCAGAAATTCGGGAGTAAAACACTTAATCGCCTTAAATTATCTTATTAATTGCTTTTAAAAACAGAAAAAAATGGTGATTAAAACTGTCACATAGCTCTAAAAAAACGTTCGTTCACAAAAAAAATGAAGGATTGGACAATAAGATATTGAAAACTGAGCAATCATATTCAAAATTATTGGTCATTCATTTTTGTAACGTCAGGGTTTAGGTTAGTCTAAACGAATCAACATAACTGAACAGTATGAATACATCAACCTTGAGGAATAGAGAAGAAAAATGTATATTAGTCAAATAAACCGATTGGGTTTTAGCAAATGATAAATTTGAAAAATAGTGACAAGTATTTCTAGTGGGAAAAATCTGGATTTGGAATCTAGTCCGCTTAAAATTGACTATTAGTGTACTTGCCTTTATTACAGAAGGATGAAATTGCATGTATAACAGGAATTTGTGAAAAGAATTATTTTAAGTATCCACTATACCAATGAGGAAGGACAGACGACAGAATTCAGTAAACAATAGCGAATACATAATATAAAACAGTTTACTATCAGTAAGAAATAAGTTTACTTTGGTTTCAATTCAGTGTCAATGCAAATAACTATTTTGGACAGTGACTCAGGTTTGTATCATTAATGTCTTGTTAATGAAGAACATCAACAGGCTCTGTTTCCAAGTTATAGTGCGCTCCAGTTGCCAGCACCTGAGTAACAACATGGAACCGAATAAATAACAAATATTAGTTCATTTCTTTTTGGTCGTGACAACAACGTAGTACTGGATTCTCTTTGTTCATAGAAAGGTTTTAATTTACATTACCTTCCAATCTACTATTTCAAACAAGTGTTCTCTGAATACATACCTGGTTTATTATATCTTTAGTATTTCAATTCTTGAAATTTACATAATTTAGATAAAATAGCTGAAGAAAATACAACTAAATAAACAATCAATCATATAAAACTTTTTGGTTTGGACTTAGTAATTTATCATTCTCAATTTATTAACAGTCTGTAAAGGACACTATATTATGTCTAATAAGCATCTCCGTTTCAACGAAATATTTCACTTATGGGCTTTGTTGAGAAGTACCATCTATTAATACTAGTACATTATTTATGAAATTATGTCCATCAATCCGAAATTAATTATGTTATAGATTGTTCCTTAAAAAATAAGTCGGAGAAATATTCTAAGCGAAGTACTGAACAAGCTTTTGATAAAAGCCAAGACATACAAACTAGAGACGTTGGCGAATTTATACAAGGGATCAACTAACTGGTCGAACTTATAGCCAATTAGTTCAAACGCCCGACTTTTATACACTGAATTAGATATTCGAACAGTAGTGTACTAGATTGATTTCCGGAAAACTACTTAGAGTCAGGTTATTTACAAATATGTATCTGAATACTTATTATCGATATTTTGACTACCAAAATATAAGTCAAATTTATAGTGAAATCAATGTCTAGCTCATATTTGATATTTCCATGAGACCTGAATTCGATTTCATCTGAAGTTGTAGGTGTGCAATACTGTTAAATATCTATGTTCCCTGATATTTTGGCAGGTTTATGATATAAGTTACTTTTATAAAATTACTTTAGCTAAATGTGGGAAAATTGACAGTAAAAAATACATACATGTGAATATTATTGGCTCCAAAACGCATATAATAACTTACACGTAACGGCAACCATAAAGAAATCTTTCTATTTTATTTATCCTTTTAAACTAAACTTCACTATCCGTTCTTTTTTACTATAAATTAAGAACTTTTCAAGTGAGAAAGATAAACCCTTATTATCTCGACGCATGATGTCAAGGTTATGCATCAAACACAAAAACATTGTGTGCGTAAAATAAACACAATTCACTTAATCTTTTCAGACTACGCAACGTACATTAGAGTAAAGTATAGTACACAAGGGAGCAGTAGTCCAGTGGTTACGGTATTTGACTTTCAGCCACTAAGTTCCAGATTCAACCCCGTTTAACTTACTTTGGTTTGGGCAACCGCGCAGAATCATTAGCCACATACTTAGTGTGGCTCATTTCCAACTATCTGGTGTAGTTAATGTAATTTTTTATTTTAAAAAAACAGTGCACAGTCAATATTCATTCCTTTTACAATAAAATAAATACTGAATTGTAAAATATCGCATGAATGCCTGTTTTGTAGTTTGTACATTTTCATAATAGATTTTGGCAGATATTTTATAAGCTTAAACAAATTATGGACAAGCATAGAATCTGAGCCTTTATAGTACCGTATAATTGCGAAAATCAGGTGATTACTACTTTAGGATAAGAGTCATTTGTAAGCCTATTTTTTGTAAAATAATTAGTTCTTTGTTAATTTTTGTATACCTATTGTTATATCCGAACGCAGATTAAATCACGAGTAACTTCTGAGACATGTTCATTGACTAATATTATCTATACATTCTTATGGTATAACTATTCAATAAATAAATTATCTATATTTATATTCCTCTTATTGTAAGCTTTATTTTGACCTATAATTTATTATTGTACAATTTACTGTTCCTAGTCTATGTTCAGTTTATTGACTACTGTCTCCCACGTTCACAGTCACTTTTTGGCTTTATTGTGTATGAATGTTATTTCCTATTTTATGGTGCGTTGCGGTCTGTTTGGTTGATATACAAACTCAGTATGTCTGAAATAAAGGATTCGATTCGCATAGTGGAAGCTGGTATTGGTGTTCTGGACTCAAGTGGACGGGCTAGGCGGACATAGCACCAATAAGGACGCTAGGCTGCCCATACCGGTTGAACGTCATTGGTTTGGCACAGAGCTAAGATTTTATAAGTCGTATTTTGATTGGTGGACAAACCACGTGATAAAAAGGCGGACATAAAGTCGCATTACCTATAGTCGAAAAATTGGAGTACACTAAACTCTACTAAAATCAAACTACGGACTTTTAAAATATTTACCACCATAATACTGACACAATGATGTGGATATTAAGCATTAGTAATTCATTTTATAACCGGAAACATCACTTCCGCATTTCACCTAAAGCTTGAATATAATTAAACTTCGATATTAATCACCACTCCTCAAGAACGGAAAACAAGGAGGCAACAATCAACAAAGGACGAACAAACCCAGAGAAAGTCAACGAACAGGCCGAATATACGGAAGCAGATAGACAAGTGAAGCGGGACATTAGCGATGACAAGGGTAAATATGCAGAAGACCTATCAGCTACACCGGAGAACGCTGTAAGAGAAGGACACATGAGAGAAATATGTGGCACAACCAAGAAGCTTGTAGGGAAGTACAGTGGAGCACAAAGACCAGTCAGGGACAAAAAAGGGAAACTAAGCACTGGAACGAGTGGGTAGAGCACTTTGAAGAGATCAGCACCACTGCACTCAACGGACATCAAAGCATCATACAGAGACTTTTTATAGATGATATCCGACTGGGAATAGGAGGAATTAGCAAGGTCATCAAACAAATACGGAATGCCAAAGCAGTAGGGCCAAACAACACATAAGCTGAAGTATTAAATTCAGATATAGAGACAACTGCAAACATATATGGATGAGCAACTGCCCAGAGACTGGAAAGACGGATAACTCACCAAGATGCCGAAGATCTTAGTAAGTGTGAGAATTACAGAGGAACCATAATACTGTCAGTACCAGGCTAAATATTCGGCTGTATTTTGCTAAACCGAATGAAAGATCCACTAGATGCCCAACTTCCAGATCAAAGAACTGGCTTTCGCAAGGATCAAGCACATAACAGCTTAGCCGCATTACTGCCAACCGTTTTTCAATAATCAATCGAATGGAACACATCCCTTTACATCAGCTTCCTTCATTATAAGAAAGTAATCAGCACTGTGTATAGGGAAACCTTGTAGAGAAATCTTTGATACTATGGCGTACCTGAGAAGATTGTCACCATCAACTTATGATAATGACTGTTAGCAGTTGTGAGAGAACTCATACACGAATAACAAGATGAGTTATATATTTAAATAAAACATCACCAAGCTAAATGTTCACTTATTAAAACATTCAACTGCAAAACCATAAATTCGTAGATTCAAGCCTCGCTATTACAGTAGCTTGATACTATTGCGCAATGCCATATAAAAAGTGTGACTGAAAGCCGAGTGCATGAATTAGCACTTCGTTTCTGAGTTATTATTTTTTTAATATTGAATTATGTACAATATGTATAACTGTGACCTAATGGTACCTTCGTTTAAGGTATCATATTGGTTCCTTCACATGATTTTCTTCTTGAACAATTTTTAGGCGTAGTAACTCGAAACATTTTATAATGTAAGATTCTATATTCCACTCATGTTCGACATTAGAATAGCTATTCTCGCGTTTGTTGTAAGTCAGCATCTAGGCATATGTTCACGTTAATTTACCAGAGTAAAGCAGATTATAAATACGTAGAAAAGAAATAACTAGCGAATTATTTTATGCATAACCAAATTAAAAACAAGCTTACTTGTTTTTAATATATGTAAATTATGAGGAAACCATTGCGATTGAATTGGGTGAAACGGTACCTAGATAGAAAAAAATAGTATAATTTTTACTCCATAGTAAACGCGATCGAAAAAATGTGCATTTTACGCATCCAATAATTTTATAGTGATCAATGAAGAATATTGTATATACCAATATGTATCAATGTTCTTTCTTATCATAATGCATTATGACACAGGGCTACTAAAAGCATTAAATGTGCGGTTCCATATACAAAGCATTGCCAAAAAGGGGTTCAACAAACTAATCAATAACTCTAACATCGGGTAAAATATTTTAGGGAAAAAAGTGAGTCGGCCAAAGAGGTTTCTCTTACACGAATTTGATAACGGTATAGATATAGACAGATACCAAATAACTAATTCATAATTGTCCACCTAACCTTGTGAAGGAATATAAACTTGCAACAGTTAATATTATTAGATTGGAATAAAGACTATATGCAGTCGTAGGCATTTCCAGCAACAAACTAGACGAATTCACCAACATTTCAGAAAGGTGAAACTATTTTATGTTCTATGATTATCCAGACTGGATTTCTATCAACAGTAATAGTGAGGGTTAGTGTTACTAATTTAAAGTAATTTCCTGATAACATGCTGATTCAATTTACGTTAATTTTTGTCATGTAATGCTGTTTTAGTAAGTCCACACACCCAGAATCAAGCTATCCCGAAATGAGATAGCAGTTGAAGTATTACTAAATTGCTAAGGTAGTCAAAAAAGATATGGTGTTTAGCTGTAAAGTCAGTGATCGATTAGATGAGTTATAAAAGGCAATCAAGACTTTATGCTGGAGGTGAAAAGTGAAAGCTTCTACCTAAAAAGTTTTAAAATTCAGAGTGTATAGAAATTTACTCTCTGCCTTCTGATTAATCAGTAGAATTTCGAGATCGCATCGAATACTAGCAAACATTTTTCAAAAAGTATACCTAATAGATATAATGGAACAGAGTACTGTTAATTTCTGTAAAATCCCATTAAATGTGTTGATAACAATAAACGTTAACTCAATAAGTGTCTCATATATTACCACTCGATTCAACAGATGCGATTTGTCCACCAGAATGTTGCACTACACGTTCGTGTTGTTGAAACTGACTAGAACCACTTATTCCCATATGATTTTGTGATGTAACTTGTAAATTATTTGGAACATGAGAAGCAGAGGAAACAAGATACTGCTGATACATAATAGGATTCCCAACAGTAGATATTGTTGTAGGACCGACTGCCATAGGTACTGGATGCTGAACTGACGAGTTAACTGAGATTTGATGAGGTTGTCCAACAACAGACGACTGGGACAGATCCGATGATGCGTTAACTACAGATAATGGATAATTTGGTGCAGAGTCTTGAATTTGATTAGGTTGAGTCAAACCGGAAGGAATTGGATGTGAACAATTTGTTGCTCCGACTGCAGGCTGCGTCGCTGTACGGTCAGCAATTGTGGCTAAATAAATAAGATTACGATGTAAAACACGTTCTAATTCCACTGCTTCTTTAACGGCTCCAACTCTCTGATGTGCCATAAGACTGTGTATAAGTCGGACGTTCTCATCTAGCATCTATAAAGGAGAGGAAAATATCAAGGTATAGAATTAGAAATTCACAAAACCCATAAACACCAAAGTTCAAGTAAAAGCAAGAGAAATTTATTAAAAACAACATACGTCAAACGATACCATAAGCTAAAATGATGGAATTTAAGAAGTAGGCCAATTAAAGCTTAAAAATTGGAAATAGATGGTGAACTTTTAAAACCTCAGAATGACTTACACATAAAAGTGAATCACCTTACAAAGTATTACTTAGAAAGCAATACAGTTACTGTCAACCGAAATAATGTTACGAGTTATGAAGCCAGCAGTAAAATCAAGCTGTGAGGTTAGTCAATAGCTGGAAATTTAGGGGTGGAAATCTATGGAAATTTTTAGTACTCTTTAGCATCTAGCATCAATAAGACATCTGATTACTTACTAAGGACTGAACAACCAATTCAATGTGACTAACTTTTTTCAAAGGCTGAAATATCTTTCACAAGAAGAATGCAGAAGCACTAAAAAAACTATGTATATTTCCCAACAGATAAACTTTATAAAGGTTATCTGTAGAGTAGTTATATCTACAATCTGCCTCTATGAAGTGCATTGGACTTTAATTAGATGGTTGTCCAACTTTTCACGAATTTTTAGCATTAGTCTTACCACAAGATAACATGAACTATCATATATCTGAGGTTTTGACTAACTAAAAGCACCAGTGACAATAAAACCAGTTTATATTATTAAGAAGTGGACCATTCAAGTAATTTTAAACCAAATGATTTGGAAAAGTATTAATAAACATCTAAATGTGAATCAATTACCTTCTGAATCGACGAAGGTTGTATAGGCTGCTCGCGTCGCAACTGTCCAGGTTGCATGGAGATAGTTAGAAGACTTTTAGATGGAGATATATCTATAACAATAATAATAATAATAATGATAGAAACAACAATAAGTTATTATAAGTAAAATATGCACTCATATATTATAATTTCGTCTATGGGATGCCCTGGTATGGTCGAGAGTGGGGTGGGCCCGCCCTCCCTCTTGAAATGCTCTCACACGGCCACGCGTATGCAGCCTCTGCCAGGGAAGTTCTACTCACTGCCTTCTTGTGCAAGAGGTGTTGTTTACGAAATTGAGAAGACGAAAGGAGAATGTCTGGCGCTTTAACCGGATTCCAAACCAATGGTGCACATGGGCTCCAGTATCCTGAGGGAACAAAAAAGGGGTGTATGAACCAATCGTTGGTCACCGGCTACCATGGGACTGCATCTCCTCACGATGCTCCACTGCCTTGTGGGTCACACCTTTAGGTCAAAGGCTCGGGGTGTGGCCCCCTAAGAAAACCACCTGCTTCGGCTTGGGCACCCGGGCAGTATCCAAGCCCTCACACAAATCGAATGATTAATATGGCGCATATCTATTTGGTGCCTCCTTGTACCAATGTTTATGTGTTTAAATAAAATATAAGAAAAATATACAGGTCAATTGGAGCAAGTCGTTACATCCAGAACTTAATATCTTTGGAGACACGTGAATACTATTTATAATGCTTGTGGAGTGACTGGCGATGTTTCGCAGTTTAATTTATCTGAAGTGTTAGTTACACATGTCACTAGAAATTGGTCACACGGACAAGAAAGATATTAGAGTAATCTATCATGACAGATTTCGTAAGTAAAGAACTACTTCATGAGCTAGTAAATAATCTAACTTAATCTGTTTTAATATATATATCATTTCGATTTAAATAATTATTCCTATCATGTAGAAATAAAGTCCTGTTATATCATAAATATATTTGACAGTATTTGGTATAGATTAAGAGAGTCGATACAACCATATATTTACACAAGATAATAGTATCTCACGAAGTGACCGAAACGTAAACGGAAAAATTGCAGTATGAAGTAGAGTTGTACAACATGAAGCGCAACTTCCCAGTTCATCAAACTAAGGGTTCAAGCGCATATAAAGCCACACGAATTAAAAGCTGAGTTACTTGGATATTGAGTGAAACGGTAGAGTAGGTGCACTCATTTTTATGTTCCCTTACATCTTGAGTTTTAACGTCATTACATACATTTTATTCTGCAAATTCATTCCTCTCTTTTGAACGATAATCATCTTTGGTTATTCATTACAATAGTTAAGACTACAATGAACAATATCAGAAGATAGAGTAGTCATAATCAGTGAATTGACATTTCGACACCAACAACTTATACTACAATGTCTGCAACCGAATTCTATTGAAAGTCAAAAGTCGACCAAACAATATATGAGCAACAGATATTCCGTCATGAATAAAACAAGAATCGCAGACAAATCAGAAAGTAACCTGAGTCAGTCCTGCTAAATATAAAGACGTTGAATTTAAATCTATTAACAATGACATCAAATTACATATAGCCTGTTTTAAGTACTAAAGCCTCGAAGCTTTTAGTGACAGACGAAGAAATAATGAACAATATTAAACAATCAGTCAATAACAACATAAACCTTCGTACGTACGTACGTCAGTTCGAGTTGCCACACCATATTAGCACAGAGATGCAGTAGTCGATTCAAATCCCGTAGTGCTAGATGTAGTAAAATTAAAAGCTGTTATCAGAAAAATTAGGGTTTGAAGATGTTATTCAAGGAGTATAATCCAGTGAAATGAATTTGTGAAGAGAAAAAATAGAAACAAGGAGGAATCAGGAGATTAGAATTTGTGAGAACACAAAGAATGGATGCATCTGCGCCATTGCAAACGATTTTGAGCCACGTCATTCAGGTTCTCTAACCATCGGTTGCTTTCATCTAGCGGTTCCCAACCACGTAGTCTACACCTACCAACATGGCTCAGTCCACTTGTCAGTGACTTCATGGACTTGTGCCATGTTTTGGTCTGGCTGCCCCTAGCTTTCTCCCAACCTACTTCTATCCCATTGAACATCGCACGTCGAGGCAGTCGGAAGGATGGGCATACGTAACACATATCCCAGCCATCTCAACTGATGAAGTCTCACTACTTCATCAATTGATTTGCCATCCATACCTAGTACCCGTTTTCTAACAACTGCATTACTTACTCGATGGTCCCAGGATATACAAGCAATGTTTCGAGGACACCTATGATCAAATACTAGTAACCTACGAATATCCTCTACTCTTACTGGCCATGTTTCACTGCCATAAAGTAGGACGGAACAGACTGCTGCACAGTAAACCCGTCCTTTGGTTAGCAGACGGATATCTCGCCTACGCCATAAATGACGCAAGTTGGTAAGAGCTAGTCGAGATTTCTGTATCCGTGCTGAGATTTCGTCACACACCAGACCACAAGGGCTGATGAGACTTCCAAGATAAGTGAAGCGGTCGACACCCTCAACTACTTCACTCCCTATCATTAGTTCGGGTTTCGATGCAACCCAATCCTGAAGCAACATTTTGCATTTCGAGGGGGAGAATCGCATGCCGAACATGCTTGCATTGTTGCTTAGAGTGGTCAGAAGACTCTGCATTTTGTCAGCGTCTTCACCAAATAGAACTATGTCATCGGCGTATTCTAAGTCAACAAGTGAATCTCCTGGTAGAAGTTCAACCCCTGGAAATTTAGATGAGGAAAGTGTTATCTCTAAAAGTACGTCAACGACAAAGTTAAACAAGAATAGAGATAGTGGGCAGCCCTGACAAACACTACTTGAGGTAATCAATTCTGATGACAGTTCGCCATAAGCCCTCACTCTACCAGTTGTGTTGGAGTAGAGAGCCTTTACAAAGTTAATGTACTTCTTTGGTACTCCTTTCAGTGACAAACACGTCCAGGTCGAAAACCAGCCTGATTTTCTCTAGTCTGCTCTTCACGATCTTTAGTTAGGCGTCGGAGTGTTATTGAAGCTAACATTTTAGACACTATATTAGTCAAACTGATTCCTCTGTGATTGTCACAAGAGGACTTTTGTCCTTTCTTAAAGACTGGCACAATCAGTGATTGAGACCAGTCAGATGGGATTGCGTCCAGTTCCCAAATTCTACCTAAGACCTCAGTTAATCTCACTGCTAATACTGGACCACCATCCTTAAAAATCTCAGGAGTGAACCTGTCAGGGACTGCTGCTCTCCCTCGCTTCAGATTTCCGATAGCTTTTTCAACTTCATAAAAAGTCGGAGGACCTTCATTAACTTCCCATTCAGGTCGACTGGAGATCGTGGGAAACCGAAGTGTGGCTGAAGGCCAGTTAAACTGACCCCTAAAGTGTTCTGCCCATCGATCCAATCTCCTGGATTGAGAATGTATAAAACAATTAGTCCCTTTGATAAATTTCGACAATGATATTAGAAGACGAAGATTATCAGAACTATGTGATATATTAGCGCAATACATTGTATAATATGTCCATCTTTCTCTGAGATTATTCCTAATACCGGTTTCCTTAACAAGTCTGAACAGTTGCCTGCTATTTCCTATTGCCACCGCCTTTTCCATCTCTCTGGCTTTCGCTACCCACCACTGTTCGCGATCATTGCGTAGGCTTCTTGTCAGCTTGCGCTTAAGCTGACTCCGCTCTTCATTATGTTCAGATCCAGATGGAATTAGTTTTCGAGCATCTATCAGTGCGGTTGATGCTGCTGAGATCCAGTGTTGCTCCCTAACCTTACGGTTTACCGTACTAGCAGATATCACTGCTGTTTCCACAGGTTTTCGGATATGATTCCATGCTGCCTCGGGGTGGGCTTCACCTACATGGCTGCCTGACTGTTTTTCTAGTTGTTCCTGAAATATACTCTCAGCTTGACTATCATTAAATAGGACCTTAAGAGGTTTCCTTGCAGCGTCTTTCTTACGTCCAGTAAGACGCAAGCAAATGCGCGCTCGTACTAGAGCATGATCTGAATCTAGGCATGTGCTCCAGAATGAGCGACAGTCTTCTATCGAGCCCCTCCATCGGTGGCTGATAGCGGTGTGATCTATTTGGGTACAACGTTGGATCGAATTATGGGGTCACCATGTTAAAAGATGTTTTTCAGTCAGTCAGTCAGCTACAACGTAGGACCAGGCACATATGTGCATCGGTTCAGGTTGCCATACCGCATCAGCACAAGATGAACACCGGATTCACAGCAGTGGTTAGGTCAAACGTGGTAATATATAAGAGAAAGATTGCATATAGAGATATAGTACAAGAAGAAATAATTGGTTCGTAGAAAGAAAGAATGAAGTGATTTTAATCTCTTAGTTTAAGGGAAGACAGGGAGTGTATACACCGACGCCATTGTGATCGATTCTGAGCCATGTCACCAAGAGCCTCCAACCATTGGTTACGAAAGTCACGCGGACCCCAACCAAGTAGTCTGCATCTACCAGCATGGCTCAGACTAGAAGTTAGTGTCTTCAAGCACTGATGCCACGTTTTGGTTTGGCCGCCCCTAACTTTCTTCCAACCATCTCCAATACCGGATAGCATTGCACGTCGTGGTAGTCGGTGTTCAGGCATACGTAACACGTGGCCCAACCATCTCAGTCGATGAAGATTCATAGCCTTATCAACTGATTTACCATCATTCCCTAATACCCTGCGTCTAACCTCACTATTACTTACCCTGTGATCCCAGCAGACGCCAGCAATATTCCTAAGGCACCTGTGGTCAAATACTAGTAGCTTACGGGTGTCTTCTACTCTTAATGGCCATGTTTCGCTGCCGTAAGGTTAAACAGAACGAACGGCCGCGCAGTATACCCGTCCTTTTATTGATAGACGGATATCTCGCCTTCGCCACAGGTGACGTAAGTTGGCAAAAGCCAAACGAGCTTTTCGAATCCGTGCTGAGATTTCGTCAGACACCAACCCATTAGGGCTGATCAGACTTCCAAGATAAGTGAAGTTGCCAACGCGTTCGACTACTTCACTCCCTATCCTTAGTTCAGGTGTTGACGCAGACCAGTCCTGAAGCAACAACTTGCATTTAGAGGGAGAGAAGCGCATTCTAAACATTCTGGCATTGTTGCTTAGTGCTACCAAAAGACTCTGCGTTTTTGAAAAACATCATCAAAAAGATGTTTTTCCTTATGCTTAAAGTTAGTATTTGCAAGAAACAGGCGGTTATCTGAGCATAGCTGCAACAGACGGTCGCCATTATCTGTTCTTTGAGCCACGGTGCTATAAGATCCACCCACGTGTCTTTCCCTATCGCATAGTTTACCTACTTGAGCATTAAAGTCACCGGCCACTATTACTACATCCGAGCGCCTAGCTTTTCGAAGAAGGTCGGAGAGCTTTCTGTAAAACTCCTCTTTTAAATCATCTGAGCTGCAGTCAGTGGGAGAGTAGGCAGAGACGACGAAGAGGCAACGACGAGTGTCCCTATCTTTCCGGATTCTTACTGTTCCGTTCAGTCGGACAGCGCACAAACGACTGTCTACTGGGATCCACTCTAAGAGAGCTAGTTCTGCCCTAGGACTCAATGCTATACCTACGCCAGCGAGTTGACGAGAAGCAGCATCTGGGCTTCCAGATACACGAAGTTTGAATTGAGTTGGTCCTTTATTTTGACATAGTGATGTCAAATGAATGACGCTATTCGGATCCTGTATGCGCGTTTCGGAGACGCAGCACACATCGATGGCGCGAGATTCTAAAGTCCTAGCTAAGGAAGCTTGTTGTCCTATTTGGTACAGTGTTTGGACGTTATTAGCTCCAACATGAAGTTTAGAGCGTGGTTTCAGGAGACCAGGAATAACGTTCCGCGTATTCGAATCGTTTGCCCTAGCGGTGAGAAGTGATAAAGGGACGTGAGAAGGGTTGGTCTGGGAGATAAGAGAGGTATTAGGAGGTGTAGGAAGGATTTGAACGTGACCAACTTGGTCTCGTGTGCTGTTACGGGTATGAGGGTTAATGTCACTTCCCGGCTACCCACACCGTGGAAGGGTATTTCTCGAGGAACCTGAAAAAGAAGGCAGATTAATGTCGGCCTTAACGGCCTGGGAGCGTGACCGCAGAGCCCAGGGGACAACTGCTTGAGGTCGGTCACGCACGGCCTTTTTGTGGGAGGTTTTTGACGTGTTAGCTCCGTTCTTCAAAGGGCCTTACCGCCGGAGACGGAAATCCATGAGGTAAGGTGAGGTGTGACATTTTTAGGGTCGACCTCTTCTAACCCATTCCTTTCTTGTGAGAAGGAAGCATCGCTGTCATGCTGGTTGTCCAAGGGAAACACCTTACTGCTGTCACACCCCTCTACAGTCAGCAGTACAACTACGCCCTCAGACCTTGAGTTGCTGCTTTTAGTCTTACCGTTCTCCAATAGACCTGCCTGGCATGGTAGAACCTACAGGAACATATGTTCCAGCCAATATAGCTCGGTTGGGTCATCACGATATGCAAGCCCGACCACCGCGTCAAGGTAGCAGCTACGCTCGGGAATACTAAACAGCACGAAAATACCATTGAGTGAAACTGTTGCACACGGTTATATAGGAAAACTAAATAACAACAAGCGTTTCGCACGTACTCAAACTCGATCCACGGTTTAAGAAGTTTTGGAACTTTCCAAACAACTCAAGCCAAGATAGAATATAGGGTTTGAGCATGCAAGCTGATGGTTAAAATCCACGTGGCATAGGTATTAAGTCACTGGTTGCGTAAATAGCTAGAAGATAGGTAATTTAGATAACATAATAAAGTGTGATGAATGAATTGCTTTAAGTGAGCGGTCACTTGGAATGGAAAAGGAACCTAGAACGGTTAGTTGGTGGAATGTCTGAATTTTTCATATATTACGAAAATAGAACTTGTCATAAATGTATCAAAAGATATCTGATACAAATCACACAGTTCCGTATAGTTTGCAGAAATTAAAGTGTAAAATTTGGATTTCATACGGAGACGGCCGCTCTTGCTTTACTCTATGCACACAGATAACCAAAGGACACGTAGGAGTTAGTGATAAAAGTGAAAGTTCAACTTCAAAAGTTTTGGGGTCGAATTTGTTTGAAGCGCAGCAAAACGTGAATCAAAGGTGTGTTAGCTTTTTATTATGTTGAATGGTTTATAGTTCATATATGTCTGGTCGGGGAGAAACCTACAATGTATGGCCAACTGAACGAAATACATAGGCCTACGCAAAATTTCGTTTAACGTCCTTACTAACCGAGCACGATTAGTAGCACCCAAGAATCCAGATGTGAAACTTGATGGAAGGATAAATGTATTGCGGGAAACAAAAAATAATATTAATTGGCTTATGCACATAGTTTTCATCCCAATTCGTCATATAATGTTTGTAGTAAGGTTACAGACATATAGATCTTATAAGGTTTGGTATAAAAAATTATTAAATGTGACTCCAGCTTACGGTTTAGCTAAGAAAAATGATGAACTTACATTAAAAATGAGATTGATAACCAACAACCAGTAAGCACAAGCCAAAGAAGTCGATATGTTTGACTGGACGCCTCCAATTCATGGCCTTGATGGTGGATGTGTAAAACGTATGAAGTATAACAAGTATGTTGGTTTTGAGAAGAATCGAATGTATCTTTTTGAAGCCTCCATATAAGAAGTGATATATACGTAACAATCTCTAATTAAAGAATTGTTGGTAAATTGGCATGACACGCTATTCATACTCCTGAAGAATAGTTGAATTTGCCTGTTTGAACTCTTGAGAAGCTGTTATTACCGCCCCAGTCTATAGGGAATTTCAAGTCCTAACTATCTGTACTCAGTGTACGATATGCTTACAGAAAATTTCACTATTCTGAATCTCTAATGTATAAGTGTTCCATTCAAGTTATATGTTGGGACTGACCTCAAGTAGGTACTTTAGGAAATACCTAGGGCTATTCGGAATTCTGAAAGTCACTAAAGGGTTGTCTCTGAGTCCGCTATACCCTATTAGTTATTCTTCGTAAGGCTCAACCTCTAGTTACCACATTTGACTTCATGGTTATTCTTTGGATACGCTTGATGGCTTACTTGTCCTAAAGTAAGGAATTAAGCACTATGTTTCTACGCTCAAATATTAGATAAAAGTTATGAAAGACCAGTGAAAAATTGCACCCCCGAATTGTTTGAAAACTGACCTTAAAGTCACTTGTACAAACTGGCTTCGGGATGACAATAAATAATTCACAGTGGCCCTAAAATGCTGGTATTTGGGCAAGTTTATCAGTGGTGATTGTTTACCTACCGACTTAAGCTTACTGACAGGGCGGCCACGATTGATTTTTTCTCAAACTTCCAGGAAACTAGGATACACTGCATCTACCTTAACCTTACGATCAAGGATCACGGTTCACCACTCCATTTGAGTCAGTAGATTCATGATCCAAAGGTAGGCATTCTTAAAACTACACTTGCAGTTAAAAAATTATGGATGATATATAATCACTTATGCCATTCTAAATAAAAGCATATCACAACCTTTGAGGGCGTTGGAACACGGGTTGTCGGTCTGTATTCAGTAAGATAATTACGGGTAAAGAATACGACTATTATTCCGATCGGCAACTCAAAACTGATGCAACTGGGCATCTAGGTAGAGAGGCAGTTTCATATTAAGCCGATAACTTTGAAGTGCATTCTCAAAACGTTCAAAAACTAAAATCTAATCGTTCACTTCTGGAATTTTTTTCTACACAACGAATCACGAGTCATAGAAATTCTTCATCACATTATAAAGCTCATTCTTGCGGAAAAGGTTGAATTTTCTCAACACTACGGATCTAGAGGATTCATAAGTGTCACCTGGCTCTCGCCATCCCAACCACAAGGTACTGTGGAGTCTGAATCTTATCAGTGTTTGGAACCTGTTTATATATGCTCGCCGTTGATTGAATGCGATGATAGCTGAACACGAGGCGAATACGATTATATTTTCCTGAAACATCGTAGGTACTGATCGCGGAAAAAATTGCTTAACGTAGTGTGAATCACTAAACTTGAATCCTACTGTTGAGATTATACATATTACTAATACAATCTGTCTCTGAAAACAGATCTACCTGATATGTAACACTATTCAAATAATAACTGCTGTAACATAAAATCTATGACCGGAATGACTCCGTTCATAGATCGTTAAAAAAACTTCAGCTCGCACGACATTTCAGTTTTAATATATTTATGTATTCAGGATAGGAGAATATTTAAAACACTCGTTGAAAAACTGTACTTGAAGATAACATGTAAACGTCTATAAATAGAGTGGCTTTTGATCGGTTGCCATTACTTCTCTATCCCTTCCTTTGTCCTCAGTCCTCTTCTTTATCGACTTAGATGTTGATATATATACTACAACATAATCTCACAATATTATGCTACTTGTTACATCCACATTTAATTCCTGTCTCCAATTTTTCTGGCAATAGAGAGACCTTCTAAATTTTGGTTTATTTAGTTTGAATTGAAAAATATGGCATCTTTCTATTGGTACCCATAAAAATGCCACAAGTATTAGGAGATCGACAACACCTTTCCTCGTTACACCTTTATAACCAAAGTATACCAACCCAGTCAAATCAGGAGTCAGAAGTAAAGAGGTTTTGGAACATATTTGAAAGGCTACCGATATATAGGGAAGCAATTGGTCTAAGCTGGTCAGCGGTTGCAAGAAATGCGTGGCGCAGGTATCTACTCGTGATCTGATGCGGATGCGTGACTGAGTGGGCTTCGCTAGATAAGTTTACTAAAACTAATAATATCAGCACTAGATATCGGAAATTTACAGAACAATTTATTTTGGAGATTTATTTACTGCTACACCCAAATTCAAAACATCTATTACATTTCTGTATATGGCTTGATTATTCAACATCAATATTTATTCTACTTAGTTTCACACCATTTTGTTGTCTGAGCAAGACAACGAACTTCTTTTTTTGATGATAGTTTTCTTCAAAACGAAAATGGAAACCTCCGAACTACTGTAACCTAAATAGTGCTACTGCCTGTTGCGAATCAGCAGCCAAAGAAAAGTTCATGTGTAAAGTGAGCAATTAAAAGCCTAGAATATTCGCTGCATTTTTCACATGGTTCCGATAAAAAAATCTAGTGATATAAACTGGAAGATGATAATGCATGGTGTCTAATGCATCACAGACGTAGGGTTTATAAATTGCGCCAACATTAACGTCACATTTTTGTTGCGATTAATCATTTTCACACCTACATGTATCGCTATTTCCCTAACACTGCATGTTAATATGTATCGTATCCATCTTCTGAATAACTTCGAAATAATGACTGTGACTGTCTGTTGGAGATGTTAGATCTCCAGAACTTACTTGGTGAATGCCTCAATTTTATCTTTTGTTCCGTCGATGAATGACATACGCGCCCCACTAAATTATCTTCTGAATAAGAATACTACTTGGAACTGGACGAAAAGTGTGAAGCTGCATTTTGCAAGCTGAAAACCGTCATTAGCTCTGAACTATTATTGACGCATTACGACCCATCCATGCCAATCATTATTATTATTATTACTATTATTATTATTGTTATTCACAAACATCTTATGGGTACATAAGTGTTGTGAAGAAACCATTTCGGGTTTCTTCAAAATATGCGATAATACACAATTTTCAATAATATTAGCATTATACTTGCCATATTTAAAAAAAATTAGATTAATAATAGTAGAATATTAATAATAATAAATCGGGTCTGTGCAATTGTGAAGAATATTGAATTGAGTTTAAAGAAGGAAATGGAGAAAATAAGGGAATAGAAATAAGGGAGACGCAAACAGTTTAACTGGCGTGTTTATGAGCATAAAACAAGAACAAACGACTATGTATATATCGTCAAATTAGTAACAAAAAATAATTAAAAAAACAACTTATTATTGTAGTAAGATATGACGCTAGGATAAATGTTTGTGCAGATGTTTCAGCTTTTGGACTCAGTGCTGTCATCCCACACCAGTCCGCGGACGCAACAGAGAAAGCTAATATGCATGCATCTCGCACATTAACTCCAGTGGAAAGAAAGTACAGTCACATAGAGAAAGAGGCTCTTGTCCTCGTATTCGTTTTCACAAATTCTTATACAGTCAAAGATTTACTCTTACAACACGATACAACTCTTGACTGAGATGTTCGCTCGCAACGGGTTACCGCACGTAGTTTTATCAGATAACGGTTCTCAGCTCAGCTCAACGCAGCTCCAAGATTTCTGCCAACGGTTATCCATCAAGCATCTCCGCTCTCCATCCTACCACCTGAAAATAAATGGCCAAGCAGAAAGATTTGTGGATACATCTAAGGGAGCTCCAATCAAGTTGAAAGGGGAGGGGATGCCAGTGGAAACAGTGCAAAACTTGTTATTCCTATACAGGACGACACTTAGTGATGTATTACCCGAGCAGAAGTCCCCAGAAAAAATTCTCATAGGAAAAAATTGAGGACGGTCCACAATCTGATGCTCCCGAAAACCATGCCATCGCCATCACTCACAAAGTCCCAGAAACTACAAAAATACGAGTTTGGATGTCCGGTGTTCGCTCTGGACTACAGACTGAATCATGATTCTTGGAATGAAGCACATGTGGTCGGAAAATTAGGCCATGTCATATACGAGGTAGAGGTAGGAAGAGACAGGTGGACTCGACATCGGAAACAGATACGCAAGCGGTTAGCCCGAGTTCGCCCATTGACAGAAGGCAATCTCCCTCTTGACATCCAATTAGATACCTTCAGTCTACCCGCAGTCCCGACACAGAAGAAAGCACATCGACTGGTCGATCTACGACCCAGAATGTGGTCACCCCGACAACGGCGACAAACGGTCAAAATGCAAGTGGACTCCAGAAACGTGTGCTGTTGAATAGGGGAGGTGTTGGGGATGTTAGATCCCCAGAACTCACTTGGTGAATACCTCAATTTTATAATTTTATTTTTGAAACTTAAATTTCCTTGTTTTCACGCCAAAAGCGCACTTTTCACCTTTATGTCGTATTTCCCACTTGGGAGAATCTTTAACGCTATTGGCCCGTTGTGTATTTTTAGTGTGCTATTTTTGCAACGCTTCCCAAGGACAGTTTTATGCTATAATTTTACGTCAAGAGTAAGTACGTTAAGTTCGATACAACCTGCGATGAATTTAGGCTAAGTTATTCAGAAAATCCTTGGAATTATGGTCTAAGTTCTTTATTAGTACTGCTTTAATGATAGACCTAACCGTAAAATTGTAGACTTGTCATGATGTGACTACCTAATCTATGATATCTTGCATAGTAGTCCCATAATTATCTACCCTGACTCGTCGTACCGTAAAACTAAGCGATATAACCTCAAGTCTCTTATTGAAAGTGTTCACTGAGGGAGGTTTGGGTCACAATGTGTTCCACATAAAGCCGATCCGAAATTAAAAACTGTATGACACAACCAGGAGTTTTGCTTCTTTGTGTTCAATTCCCCCGCCGCAACCTCGCGAAGTGTGTTTGTGAAGTTGAAACTTCTGTTTTGTGAAGCCGTAAATTCACTGTAGGGAACAATTTCCTACAGGTTTAATTCTGAGCTGTTCTCTAGACCGTCGAACACAGAGTCTTGGTTTGGCAAAAGTCAGAACAATCAAGCTATTTGGCTAGATAAACTTTATCTGTTTCTAAAACATAAATTAACATCGTTAGTATACAAACAAACTGTACAGTCTATTAATACAAGGAAAAAACAGACAAATAACATACCGAACAGTAGCCAGAGAATAGGAAAAATGAGTCAACAAGCAAATATTGTTTTACAATGAACATCAAACTGTGATTGGTTAATAAAGAGATACGGTAGTACAATGTCAAAGGGAGTTAATGTGGTGGTGGGCGTTTCCTTTTATTATTGGTGAGTTCGTCTATCGATCACATTTTACATTCACCATAGTGCATTTATACAAGACAGCTTCTAAACTGTGGTTTTTCATCTATTTTTCCATAAAACTGAGTTTACTTTAAAGCCCAATTGAGTTTTGATCACTTCTGACACCTCTTAATTTTTAAATTTCTTCAGCCTAAATTCAGGACAGTAGACCTGTTTTCTCCAAGAGACAATTTATATTCATCATAGTGAAGAGAGGTTCAAGACCAGTGGCTAGATTTTTAAGTCTCTTAAGTCCGCCTGTACTTTGTTCAGAGCAACACATTACATTTAATCCTCTAAATATTTTTGCAGTCAGAAGATTAGAGGACTGGGAAAACCCATTTTTGCACCTTATGTTATGAGGAACACGTGTGGTATGGAGTCCGGTGGTTTGATGAAATTAAGGGTGTGTCCATAACTTTTGATCATAACAGCTAGCACATTTGTTGCATGGTAAAACGAAATTTGGAAGGCAAAAGTCTACTCTTCTAAAGCCATTCACGTGCTTTCTCACCTGTCCATTTACTACCACTTCCACAACTATTTGCAGCAATCGAAATAATTCAGTCATTCCATAACAGAGTGAATCTATAGTAGAATTAGTTTTTACCCATATAGTCATTGAAGCTGAACACACACTGGCTGAGAAGGCTTCAACTAGATGTTAAACCTTTGAAGGGGTCAGAAGAGGTGAATACCGAAACACGTAATCGTGACGACATGAACCAGCCATGAGGACATAGTCACTCCATATGACCTACTGAATTTTATATCAAATGTATTATACTATACCCAAAACAAGTATGTTCTCCAAAGATTCATAAAGCGCATTAAACTGACTGTTACGTTTGGACAAGTTGCTATAGATAATCATACGACTTTGACGCAAAATCACACAGATAAATCACTCACATTTCAGCAATTCCATAACACAAGATTTGGTCTATTATTCTAGTATCGTAGATAAGTGGAATAATGCCAGCCTAGATTTAAGTACGACTGTGGTGTGCGCTACTGACGCCGATGGATATGAGTAGTATGTAACATCAATGGAAAGTGAAATACCTGTCGGAAGAAGGTGAAGAAGATCGAAGAAAAGAGAATGAGAACAGGCAGTGCTTGGTGTGGAAAAGGAGAATCAGTCAAGTATGAGGCAATTGATTAACATCTTGAAAATGAGCAATTTACTGTATGGTTCTCAGATTTTATTGAGAAATTCCATAGTTTTGTGTTGGAATACATTTGGTTGTTGCCACTTCTGTTCTCGTTTACTACACCACAAATCTCTCTTGTCCCTTTTACTGAAGATCAAAGGATGTGCTATCTTTCCACTCACTAGGGTTTTTTTAGATTTTTTATCAGTATCAAACTGGTTGATTATCTGTGCACACTACTTCAAAACCATCTGACGGATTTCGTGATAATCTGATGACCTTACACGTCACAGTAGGATTTAGATTCTTGAGTAGGTCCTGAACCGTTAGCATGTTCATCTTGTGATTCATAAAGTTGTGTGTCTGAGTGGCCAATAAAGATCCGCGTTCTTTCCTATTTAAAGTGGTAATCATTATTACTTTATTTAAAGACACTAAAACCCTAAATTTAGGCTTCCTCTGAGTAATCGGCCGACAGAGGTATTTATGTGGGTTTACGTTTTGTTGGTTAACTCAACCTGACAGAACCTCTTTTTCCCATTCTTTAAAAAACAGCATGCGTTACAAGTCACCTTCTGGTGTTTCTGTAGATTTTAGGCGCTATGATGATGTCTTTGAAATCTTCAGAAATAAACGGTTACGTTAATTTACCAGCTATAACATTTTTACAGTTAGAACTCATTTTGAAATTCGTTCAATGATGTCACAGGATATAAAGGTGGAATAGCAGTGCGATTAGTGACATGATTCTCTGATAAGTAACAACTGGTATCTCGTTTCTGTGAGGAAATTCATTGTTTTTCAAGTTCGAACTGGATCACTTTTGATAGCTTAATTAATCGCTGGTTGGTCATACGAAGCACGAATACACCATTGATCGTTATCTCAGAATAATAATAGAATTGATGGATGATATAGTCTCAGATGAGGATGATTGTTCTTTTGCTTATTCATTTATTTGATGAGACGCAAAGATGAGTAGTTTACTGGAGCGTTTCCCTGAGCGTGAGCTGGCAATGAGGACACACTAGACTGAAAACCTGTGTTGACTATTCCTGCCAATACATGCCCAATATCCGAAGTTTGGGGATAATTCGTGATTTTCCTCAATCATATTAAAATTTGTAGCTTTCTCCAAAGTCTGTCGTAAACCTAAAACCTGATGTTTTACAGTTGTGTGAACAAGACTTTTTTATGAACGGCACTGTCCAAGTCTTTTAAGATATGACTACAATAAGTGATGTTGTTTCTTATATGATAAACAAGGTGATTTCATATTCTATCATCAATGTTTCGGTATTGGTTTAGTGTTGCATTTACGCAAGGGACAAAGTATTTTTACCACTTGTTTGTTCAAAAACCTTACGCCATGCACATGAGTCTTTTTTGCTGTTAACAACTTCGATTACTTCTTCAGTCTAGCCTAAAAACAGCTTACTGTTTCCTTTAGATTAAAAATGTTGATGGTAATGAAACAAATGAGAACGGTTGGCAGCTAGCAGTGTCGAAATCAATAAACTGCCATCACTTGACAGTTTACAAAGGGTTAAGGTTAAGCGATGATTTTGGGAAGTACAACTCGGCCATCAATGCGAGGCGAACCTGTAACACCATACATCTAGACAGTGTAGGTGACGTTGAAGCTACACAAATATGCTTCATGATTGTATCAAATCATGCAATTGCCTCGTGTAGTTACAATCAGTTTGCATCTACGGCAGTAGTTGTTACCATCTCGGTTTCTTTAAAAAATCATTTATATAGAAAGGGTGAGTACATAGATGTAGTTACTTACGAATCTAACACTGAATCAAATGCTCCATAGAATTGTCATCGGTTATCGAATTCTGATCACTTAAAATTGGTGTACAGTGTGCGACAAAATTTATTTTTTGCCGATGATTCTGGAGTTCATTTCGATAAAGCTACAACTTACAAAATAATTTCCTATTTTAATTTATGGGACAGAATAAGGACAACAATTTACAGTATTAAAGTCTAAGTTGCTAACTAACAGAACGAGCTCAGAACGTATCACAATATCAGCAATTGATCGGAGTGGAAGAAAGCAATTTACGAGACAAGGTTAACCAAACATTCAGTCTATCTAGTTGTTGTGTAGAGTCATTTGCATGCTTGATCGAGAGATACTATGAAGTCATGTGCGACACTAATTAAAGTTTTAGCTGAAAAACCTGATATAATGTGGAAACAATGTGTTCCTTAACCTTAAAGTTAATTGAAATACAGTAAGCTAAGCCTTAATAATAAAATTCGCAAACCCTTGCATCTCATGTTGGGCCTAGTGATCGGATTAGCTAAAAATTACATGGGATGTTAAACACTTAACCGCTTTGAAAGCCATGCAAAATGAACTGCTACTGAGAACATTGTTTGTCATCATCATCTTAAATTGCCTTATGAGTTTAACTGTGAAGCCAGTAATACAATATGTAAAATAAATATGTTAGATGTATTTTATGGCCTAACAGTGTCTACATGGTTGGTGGTACATTAATAATAAAATGATCCGATTTCAGTAGATACAGAAATGCCTTGATACACTTGGATACAAACAATACTAGATGAAATAATAATTTATTCTCAAATTACAGTCTGTTACATGGTGCGCGCCAGTTTACAGACAAGAGCAAATTGTTACAGAAGTTACAGTCTTCGTCGTAGTAAGTTACTCAGGTTGATATTTTAAGGTACATTGGTAGTAGAGTTATGGGAACAACACTTCCCACATATGAATGTATTATTGTTATTAATTAACAGCTTATGGATACATATATGTTGTGAAGATACCATTTCGGGTTTCTTCAGAAACACAATAATACACAAGTGTCAGTAATGTTAGCATGATATTTGTCATATCGGAACACAGACGTGGTCCTGTGTAATTGAGAAGAATATTGAGTTGACTTTAAGGAAGGAAAGGGAGAAAGTAAAGGAACAGAAAAGAAAGAAAATCGAGGTATGTAAATAGTCCAATGAGTGTGTTTGTGAACACGAAACATGAACAAACGATTATGTATGTATCGCCAAATGAATAACAGAAAAGAATATAAAAGAATAAGAATTAATTAATTAATCAGAAAATAGACAACAACTGCAGTAGTATGTTTCGGTTAAGTAAGTGTTCGTGCAGTCATAGTTTTAAGTGATGCTATGAAAGTCTCATAAAATTGTAAATGACAATCAAATATCAATATGTGTGAGCCATACACGCGTGGTGAATATGAAACAAATCGGAGAAGTTAATTTATTTAAATGTAACACAAGATATTGTCTTAATTACAAACGTCAGATACTTGAGAATAGTATTTATTTAGAAGGAAAAAAGTGAGTGAAAAAGGAAATGCACAACCAGAGACATGGTTCATCCATGATAACAAGAGTATAATGAATATCGGACTCTGAAATGAACCCTCGAGTTTTTTGAATTTTTCAGTACAGTCGGGTGAATACACGTAGACTTATGTAATAGCATACAGAGTAAAACTTGATATTAGTGTAAACGTTTGTGCAATATTAACTTAGAATGATACTATAAAAGTCACAATTAATTTCAAAATATAATCAAATATCGATTGTAATATGTTAAATATATGTGGTGAAAATAAAATGAGTCTGAAAAGTTGATTTACTTAAGAGTAGCATAAAATAATTTGTTTTTAGTTATAAACGTTGGATGTTAAGGAGTATAATATGTTCAGAAAGAAAAGAAGTGACGAAAAGAATATCTAATATATTGAGGAAACAATCGTGATAAGAATGTAGTGACTCACTTTTATCACGAGAACACGATTGGTTTGATGAAAATAATTATTATCATTCTAACCAATTGTACCCGTGCTTGTTTAATGTGCCCCTTGTTTAACTGTGCTAATGGCAGCTATATTATGCTTCCATTATTCACACACTTTGATTGTGACTTCGCGCGAATTCGGTTACGTTCTGTAACCAAGCTTGTATCCTGACACGATCTCGGTATCCTTTCAATACCACGAGATCGCCAGCAAATATATCTCGATTTGATCCATTAACTGCCTTCTGATATTTGGCTTCTCGAGGATTTTATGGATTTATTTGGTTACGTTCAACCTTCGCCTTCTGATTTACTTGGCACGTGTTTTTTGGTAGCGGTGTTCATAGTCAACCGCGACTCGACGCCGCGCTACAAGAATAACAGTAATAAATGTAAATATTGCTGGGGATGTCAGATCCTCAGAACTCACTGGGTAAATACCTTACTTTTGTTATTTTATTTTGAAAATGTGATTTTCTGGTTTTCGCGTCAAAACGGTCAGTTCCACTTTTGTGTCATACTTCCCATTTGGGAGAATCTTAAAGGCTATTGGTTTGTGGTATCTTTTAGTATGCTGTTTTGTGACGCTTCACAAAGGGCAATTTTATGCTGTATATATACGTTTGATATGTGCCTGTTATTACTGCTCGTACTTCTGGCTGCTTGTGGAATTTATTTCCTCGTTTTGAACTTGAACTTCCCTCCCTAGTTAACGAGGATGGGATGCATCAGGATAGCTAGCCTTATGACCGTTGGTCACAGAGTCTTTGTTCCGTTCGTAGACTAGGTAAACCCGTAATCGCTTCAAGCATAGCAAATACCAACATAAGCAGAATTCAGACAACAAGATGAGTGTAAAGAAAACAAAATGAAATAAACGAGAAAAATTTCAAAGGTTCCGCTTTGTTTTTCAGCCAATCTGATAGATGACGGACGTTGTTTGTATAAATCATTCGTAATCACATTGATATTTAATGGGTGACACAGAGCACTTTCGGAAAGAGAGTCATCAAGTAGTCCTCTGATTAGGGTTAAGGTTTCACCACAACAGATGTTCGCTGGGACTCTGTTCCACATAGTTGTGTAGCGAACGACGAAAAAATTCTGGCGTAATTTGTATAGATCCCCGGAAGCATAGGTTGTGGGATTGCAAGACACTGTACGAAGAGGTGGATGCCGAAGAATAAAAAACTATTTGTAAGTCTATAGATAAACAGAATGTTCAATTTGAAACGCCTGATCCAGAGAGGATTTAGTTTGGGTTATTGACATTTTTGGTGATAATTATTGTTGTCGGAATACCCAAAAACAGCTTTCATGAACCTTCTCTGAACACCTTAAACTTCGACCAGGCCATTATGCCTGTAATTACTGTAAACTAAAATGCCATATTCAAGGATGAGTAAGATACATTTTCTGTACGGTAATAATAATTTTAATACCGATTCGATATCATTGAAGTTTATCATTATGAATCCAGTGGACTTTCTAGTTTGGGATACTTGAGATGAGATGTGTTTGGGAGGTTGCTATATCTGTAACCCAGGTCACAAACAGTGTTGAGAGGTTTCAGTGTATGTTTATGTATAGCGAGATTCAGGTCATGGCAGCGGCCAATGTGAATAAATCCACTTTTGTCAACATTCAGTGGCATATCCCACGAAATAGCCCATTCGTATAACCTATTAATTTCTTCTTGGATTACCACGGAAATAAAGCTTTGTTTGATGGGAGAAGAGAAGGAGCAAACCACTTGTAGGTTATCGGCAAAAAGGAGAGGTTTACCGTATTGAAAGTGTGAGCGCACGTCACTGATGAAAAGAAGAAAGAGTACGGAGTCAATCACTTCCCTGTATAACCTAGCTGGT